GTATCCTGGGAGCATTCCTGGCTGGCAGCCAGGCCGGCAGCATCACCCGGTCCCTCTCGCGCAGCCGCAGCCAGCAGACGTGGGGAATTAATTATTCCTTGATCCCGAGGAGCTCTGCTGGAAAAACCCTCTCCATCATGCATAAAAACCTCCCTGGAGTGGGAAATCCCTGCCTGCTGCTGCTGATAGGTTGTTCCCTGGGATATTCTCCTCGCTGTTAAATATGAATTTGTACCCACACCGGGAAGCAGGGGCCAGGCAGAAGGGACAGGAGCATCCCCTTGGAAGGGGCACTTGCCTGGCCCCAGGGCTGGGGCTGCTTCTCCATCACCTTTTGGAGAAGGTAAACATGGAATAAAAAGATCAGATTAACAAATGTGGGGTTATCCAGCTCCTGCTGGGATCATGACAGCCCAGCAGCTGCTGAGCCAGCGCCATAGCTCCTGCCTTTGCTCCCAGCTGGACAGGGGCTGCAGGTGTGGGCTGAAGGGTTCCTGATTTCCCCAGGCTGGACAAGCCTCAGGTGTGGTGGAATCTGGGTGCACTGGCAGGTAAAGCCTTTAGTGTCCAGAATGGATTCATCCAACAGCTTCTGCAAGGATGGGAATGATTTTTTTTTTCCTCCTGCTTTTCCTTTTTTAAGCCTCTTTCCCTTTGCCAGGCAGTAGGACCCACAGACTCTCCCTAATGTGTGGCTGCCATGGGCTTTCCTTGGAGCCTTTTCAGCCCTTCCAATTCCAGCTTTCCAACCCAGGTTTTTCTGCCTTTCCCTTTTTCTTTCCATTCTCTGTTAGTGCAACAACCCTGCGCTGTGAGACCCAGACAGCAGCACAGGGACCTGGGAAGACAAACTGTTTATGGAAGGAAATGGCTTTTTTTTGGGATTTAGGTTTGTCTGAGCTGTGCTGGGAGGCCAATTCCAGACAAGTGCAGGGAGCCACAGCCAGTGGGCTGTGGATGCTCTCATGGACAGGGAAATTCAGGTGGGACCAAATCATGGCAAATATTTCTCTTTTGGGGTGGCCCAGCCCAGGATGCTTGGGAACATCCTAAATAGACGGAGCTTGAGGACATGGTTTTGGGGTCTTGGTGCCATCAGCATTTGGAGAGCTCACCAGGAGCCTCATCCTAGGTAGAAGCAGCAGATGAAGTGTTCAAACAGCCTGAATAAACCCTGTGTCCTGCTCCTCGTGGGGGACCTGAGCCACCCCAATGCCTGTGAGGGACAGCGAGCAGGGTCTGGGACACCCAGGAGGTCTCTGGAGGCCATCCCTGGCCTGAATGCAGGAATGGCCAGGCTGATGGGGCAGAGAAGAGCCTGCAGCGCTGGGATTGACCAGCCTGGAGATGTGGAGGCTCAGATTGAGAAAACATGGAAAAACCAGGGGCAGAAGGTCCTGCCCTTGGCCCTTCCCGCAGCAGAGTAACCACAGGAAGTGCAGGTTTTAAACTCAGAAAGAACCCAGCCTTAAAATCCCATCCCAAAAGCCTCCACACACGGGCTGAGGCTCTGGGCCAAGCCTCTGTGTGCCTCCACAGCCTCCGAGCTGCTCCAGCCCCAATTCCTGCCGATTTCAAAGGCAAATCCTGTTATCTGAACAGCTCCTGGGGCGTGGGCATCCCAAAGGGACAGCCAAGCAGCTGCCTGGGGAATGCCAGGGATTTGGAAGCTCTGCCACAGGCTTTAAATAAAGATCCCCAACCCCCTGTGGAACTGTGGAGGGCTCCTCCCTTCTCACCCACGGGACCGACATCTATTGAATTCCAATTTTTTTTTTGGCGTTAGGGAGTCCGAAGCCGCCTGCCAAGAAGGAGATAAATAAGGAGGCGCCACACCCCAGTGTTACAAAACCTTGTATTAATCATCTCCCTTCACTTTCAATATAGCGCAGATATGAAATATAGCCATGGTTCCTAGTTACACGGGAGGAAATGAGTAATAAATACATCGGAGCAAGTGGAAATCACGAGGGTGTTTCACTGGGAACAACATTGGAAAACTGTACACTTGCAAAGACTGGCATCTCCAAACATTAGTATTTCTTTATATCGGGAAGCTTTTACATGTAACAAACATGCTATTGCCATATATGACCCCAAAAAAAAAAAAAATTAAAAAAAAATAAAAAGAAATTAAAATTTAAAAAATAGGCATTGCTCGGCAACATTAACTAGGCAAAAATAGTTCTTTTGTGCACTAATTTTGTACAGAAAAACCAGGACAAAAGGCATGCATGGACAAGGAGAGGCTGCCCGGGAACGGCATGCAACAGAAGAGAGGTCAAAGCTCTTTAAAGTCAGCTTACAATAGGCATAAATACATCAGGGTTATATATATTAATAAGGGAGGAAGTATTCTGTTTAACATTATTAACATTCCTGTTTCTTTATGTATTTTTCTTTTTTTTTTTTTTTTTTTCTTCCTATTCCTCCCAGAGGAATACACATTCACCTTTAAGTAAAGATAAAGGAATTACAAAAAATAAAACTCACTTTTGCAAACTCTGATGACTCGTATAAAATCAACTTTAGTGTTATCGTCGCTGTGTGCAAATTATAGACGTCTGCGGGACCCACTTTCCATCAGGCACATTCCGAAAGCCAAACCCGACATGGAGAAAGGTGACAACAGAAATCGTTTCCCTAAGTGCTGATCCAACTCGCTTTAATCACAGTTTGGGATTTTCCTGCTGGATGCTGCCCGGGCTCGACCTCTCCCTCCCCACCCTGAATTTTTTTTGGAGGGTTTTGCTGAGCTGAGCCCAGCTCGGTGTCCCCGGGGATGGGGTTGTGTCCCCGCGGGTGTCGCCTCCGGGGACAGCTCAGGGGAACAGCACCAGGAAAAGGTCCCCGGGGTCCGGGGCTGGGGCTGGGCGAGCAGAGGGAGGGGGGGACTCGCCCAGGACCCCGCGGTGGCGACACCTGGGCCGGGACACGGAGGGGACAGCTGCAGTGGGGCGAGCGGGGGATACAGAAAGAAAGGCACTGCCGCTTTATTACTGAATATTTGACTTCACAGCCTCACTCGTGCAACTCTTGGGGTTGATTTTTTTTTTTTGTTTTCTTTTTTTTTTTTTTTTATTTCTATAAATAATTTTTATTTCTTTTAGGATTCAAGTTTGTTTTGTTTTGGTTTTTTTTTTTTCTCCCCCCCACTTTTTTAAGCTTCTTTCCCTGGAGCTCTGCCACCCGCACTTAGCACCGGCAGCCAGAGCCAGGCAGCACTTCCCGAACGCAACTGAAGCCACTTTTTTGTTGTTTTTTTACTCAAAAAACAAAACAAGAAACAGCAAACACAACTAAGTCGTTATTAACCTCTACACTGTCAATGGAAAATAAGCTTTTCTTTTTTTTTTTTAACATCAAAAGGATAAAACAATTGAATTATTTGGTGGTTGTTAATAACAGACATTATCATGGTTCCCAGCCATAGCAAGTTAATAGGTAAAATATCCAAAATAATCTCTCTGAACAATCAGAAAACCTCCGTGTCCGTAGTCAGCGAAGGAATAAATAGAATTTCAGCTCTGTAAATACACTGGAGTCTCCCTGAGGGAGGCTCCTGCTACGGTGGTTCTGCTCACACCTCACAAGCTGGGGGTGCTTGGGGGTGACCCAGGTCCCCAGCGCCGACCCCGCTTCGCCTTCACCTCCTCACACCTCTTCCCAACCTCCCTGGCCTTCAGATTTTCCCTTCTCCACCTTCCCCATCTCCCCCCCTCAACCTCCTGTCTGCCGGGAAGCAGGACACCAAGGAACAGCAAACATAAAACATTGCATTTGGCACTTGGGTTTTTGTATATATATATATATCTGTGTATATATATATATATATATGTATATATATATATGTATATTTTCTTTTTTTTTTTCTTTTTTTTTTTTCTTTTTAGAAAAACAACTTAAAAACGCTGCATGACAAAAGGATTCACACATCTCCCAGCCCTGCCCGTGCTCGGGCTCCCCCTGAGCCCTGCTCCCTCTGATCCTGGCACATGGTGCTGCCCATATCCTCACAGCCCGGTTTGGAAATATTGCTGCAACCCATCAACTCAATTAATTGATTTTACATTTCTTATTTTTCCATCCAAGGACTTGGAGCAGCATTGGGACCGGCAGGAGCATCACTGCAGGTCTGAGAAGCGCCAGCTCAGATTTACCAATTTAACACCAAATTCAGCTCCTGTTCTAAAAAGCAGTGGTGGGAGAGGAGCAGCCCAGCCCCATCTCCCCCCCAGCACATGGTTAATGCCAAGAAAACAAAGCTGTGAAGCTGCATTTTGGTGCCTTTTGTGGCTTGAGTTTTATTTGGGGGCTCCTTCATCCCTCCTTGGCCACGCTGGAAAAGCCCCTTAGAGCCGGATTTTTGCAGGCTGGGCCAGATGTGTGGAGCCAGGATGCAGCAGCTTCCCGGTACCTGTGCAGGCAAGGCAAGAGACACAGAAACTCTCCCAGTGCCAGAGACACAGAAACTCTCCCAGTGCCCCCCAGTTCACAGACTCCCCCCGGGACCCTCCTCTGGGTGAGATCCCGCTCCATCCCGCATCCCGATCCAGGCAGGATGCACCTGCCGACCCTGCACCGCCCTGAGCACAACGCTGCCTCCACACTGCAGACCTCTTGGCTAAACTGAAAGGAAATTTGGGGGTTATTTTATTATTTCTGTTTCGATCTGGGCTCGCTGGGTCAGTCCGTGCCCGAACGTGGCGGAACTCGAGAGACGGGACTGCCGGCCCCGAAGCCCCCGGCAGGGCAGGCAAATCCTCCCCAAAGGGATTTTGGTCACGCAGCCCTGCGTGGTGTTCCGTGCTCCTTGGTATCCTCCTCCAGGAACAGGGTTTGCCCACGGTGCTCTGGTGAACCCTCTGTTGTCAGCACTCTCCTCCTCCTCCGTGTCCCCCCCAACCTCCCCACGCTGCTTCGTCATCGTCGCTCAGATTTTACTTTTTGCCATCTTTCCCCCCCCCCTTTAGCATGGATGTAATAAATGACAACACAAATTCCAAGTCTAATGATATGTTCACAAGGACAATCTACACATTCACAAAATTAAAACAGGAGAGAGAGAGAGAGAGAGAGAGAGAGAGAGAGAGGAGAGGAGAGAGGAGAAAGGATGCAAGCTATCGCTGAGGCTCCCTCAAGCCCCGACCTCGCCGCTGGACCCGCAGCAGTTGTTGTCCCAGCCAGCGTCCCCGTGGCGACGCCTTCTAGATCGTGGAGGTTCTGTCGACACCATCTGTAAACAGGAATGGAGAATTAGGAGCAGCCCCAGTGAGCACTGGTACTCCCCAGGCTGGGGATTTGGGGGATGGACCCCCAGAGCACACCCAACCCACACAGTGAGGTGGTGTCAGGGCCACCCCCACAACCTCCCATCTCCCCAGGGGGTGCAGAAGGGTTTTGGGGTGTCAGTGCTCTGCTGGTCTCTCTGTGCCACCAACTGTCCCCACCCCAAAGCAGCTTCCCCAAGTCGCCGTCCCAACACCAGTCCAGGCCTTCCACAACCCCACAACTGCTTTCCCAGGAGCAGAGGGGGTTTTTGGGCAGCCTGGACTTGTCACAAGGTAGGTGACAGTCTGGGACAGTCTCCTACAGCAGGACAAGTTTGTGTGCCCCGACCACGAGTCAGGGGACAGGGACAGAGCCGGTCCCAGGGGCTGCCTTGCCCGCAGTTCACCCAGCCCTGCAACACCTGCACCACAGAGGATGCAGAATTTTCCTCCATCCGAGGATCATGGACGGACAAAAAGCCCCCAGGAGCCCTTCTGTCTCCCCAGAGCCCCTGTTCCCAGCACCCTGTGGCAGCAGGGACGCATCCAGCCACAGCCCGATCCCAGGAGCGAGGGGTCCATCACCCACCCCAAAACCTCACAACTGACCCCGGTACCAGCAGCCCCCTGTCCCCACCCCCCAGGGGCAGAAATCAGCACCCAACAGCACTTCCAACCCTCCAGCCCTGATCCCACCCCCGTCCCCCCTCCCAGACCCCATCCCCAGGATGGAGAGTGGCAGGAGGCAGCTCCCAGCGTGGCTGAGGAACAGAGAATTCCCTGTTACCACCTGGGGCACCACAGCCACCTCCCTCCTTGACACTAAAAACAAACAGGTTTGTTACGACTTTTTTTTTTTTTTTTTTTTTTTTTTT